AGTATGTGAGTCATTCACGAAAACTCGGTTCTTTTGTGAAAGTTAAATTCTGATATTCGTTTTATGTTACTCATTATCTTACTTATATATATATAGTATGACATTTAGCTGAACGTCAGTCTCTTGAGGCAAAGAAGAGTTTCGTATTTAACCCTTGAAACAAAGCAAACAATTAAACACGAAATGCATTATTACCTTATTTTATAGGCCTATGCGTAAGTGTCATGTCACTACCATGTTGCCAACGCTTCTGAGGTCTTAGCACATTTTCCTGAAACTTACTGAATCACGATGTCTGACTGCCAACAAAACAAAAGTTTCTTTTCCACTTCTTAGATTCTGTTATTCATTATCTGCTCAGTTTTAGAAATATTTATGGTTGAATCTGTAACAGCACTGTGACTTCTCGGTTTCTCTCGGTTTGCATTCCTTTTAGGCATTCTGACCACTTTTGTCTGTTTCAAAAGTCGAACATATAAGCTAATACTTCTGTTTTACTTTGTATTTGGACTGACTGCATTTTAAGGCTTCATTTTGTCGTTTATTTAAGAAAATTGTCGGTAGCTCAGACTAGATGTAAAAAACAAAATGACTCTGTTCTGGGTTTTGAGCCACGCAGTCTAGTAAAGTTTACCGACGTTTCAGAGATGCTTGCTGCCGATCATCGCCCTCATGATGGAAGCAGGAAACACCTATGAAACTCCGATAAACTTCAATCAGGCGACACGATGTAACAACCCAGGTGAATTTTATGCATATCACAGTGAGAATCTGAATCATCACTTAGGTCTGTATGGGGTCGAATGAGTGGATAATTAATTAATACTAATTTGGAAAGGATATGGATGGAAGCAGTCGCAGCCTAGTTTAAGTTACTATCCCGAAATTTATCTGGAGGGATTTATGATAGCCACGAAAAGCCTTAGCAAGAATAGCTGATCTGCAAGCTTAGATGTGAACTTGGGACCTCAAGAATTAGAAGTAAAAGTGCTAACCACTCCACTACAACACAGCTGTAATTATATTTAAGTTCCAAACTATTCTCCTCGTGTCTTGAATTTTGTATTTCTTCAGGTCACTAGTAACCTTCACTGGCATTTACTAACAATATATCACATTCGAGTGCGTTTCTTCTCTTGTCCTATTGTCAAGAGTATTCCAAATAATCTGCATAATGTTACATTGACATTTATTTAAATTGCTTATAATAAATTCTTCATCTGTAAAGGCATATGAAATGTGATTCTTGCTTCAGAAAGCATTCATCAGACCAAAGAGGAAGATTTTTCCTAATTGTAAATGTTTTTCCGCCTATTATAACCTATTTTTACATAAAAATATTCATTTATACCTACTGAAAATCAAAAGTACCCAGTAATTTATGTCTCAAAAATTATTTTAGTATCACGTCAATTAAGTTAATATTGGTGGGCACTCCTGACAGATCTAAGAGGGCATTCTTAGTTGCACATAGCAATAATTATTTTAGGTAATTCGGTCCCAGAACATTTACATGACACATATCTAATACATTTTTTGATTTCTAGTTTCAGCAAAGCATCTTAAAACCTGAAAACCGGTGGTGGCGCGTGTTAAAGAGTTATTCACTAAAACGAACCCAAAAAATTGTATGCACCAATTCCATGTTTTAAGTTTCTGAAGGAAATCAAGATAAGTCCTAAAACGATTTTCGGACACTCCAGGTAATCTTAAGCTGTCATACACAGTGCGAAGTCTTATAATCCCTGCTATTAGTTTATATTATTAACCGTTTATTCCAAGCACAAATTGTTTTATCTGTTCCTAGTAGAGAACAAACTCCTTAGTTTTACAAACAGACACTTACTTTCATGTTTAGCGAAATATTCTACTCGTAGATTGTGCATTGTAAATGAATTTTTATTGGAGACGTAGTAACAACTGTAAACGCGCCAGTTCACCAGGTTATTGCACATTTAATAATAAGCATAGGACTATGGAGACCTATGAATTCTTAAGTATAAAATTAGAAAATTAAGAAATTAGTTTCATTCAACAGTCTGTTGTATAAAAGTATGATGAACTCCTAATAAAGAATCATGACATATATTCAAAACCTTGTCGTAATTCTGATCTTCGAGTAACATTAATTTTAACTATTTTCGTTTCAACAATTTATCATTAACAAATAAATGTCGAATTTTTGTAATTTTGAGTTATGTACTATTTTATATTCAACATATCTGTCAACGCACTGAAAAACTCAGAGCAACTTTTTAAGTGTTAACCATCTGAACTGCATTATTTGTGACAATAAACATCGCGCAGATCATACATATTATGGATGTTTTTAAGGGTAGTTATTCACATTCTAAATACATATATTTATCTTGTACCATATCCATTAATATTTACATCAAATCAGTAAACCTTGGGCCCAGGTCGTTCTCTTCAATATCATTCCAGTGTTCATTAATAAAATTAAACTGTGTGATTTGAGGTTTTCGCAGCTGTGAGTATGAAGATTTCTGTCTTCTAGGTTGCTGCGCCGTGTAGTATCGTAGATGTTAACCAACGTTTCAGAGGTCATACTGCCTCCGTCATCAGGGCGAATAACATTCATCGCCCTGATGACGGAGGCAGTATGACCTCTGAAACGTTGGT